TAATTTTAATTATAAATCAATATTAATATATTTAATAATTAAAAAAAAAAAGAGTGGAACACAAACGAACCCTAGTATAGCCTAGTTTACTTATGAAGTACATTTAAAAGTCAAATTTAAATTTTTACTCTGACAAATTAAACCTGGTCACAGAAGAATTTATTTATTTTTCTTCTGATAATGTTAAAGTTAGTCATGTCCATTCTCCAGCAGGGATGCTATTCAAGTCAGTGAATTGAAATGCAATGAAAACGGCATTTTGTTTTTTCTTTTTTGGCCATTGCAATGAAGACAGCTTACACTACAAGGAAACGGGTTAACTGTGACAGGAAAATTAGTCATAAAAATTAATTTTAATTTTATTAATTATCCAATTAAAATTCTTCATATATTTATAGCATTAAAAATAAAGTCAACTTTTATATTTTTAATATAAATTTATGATGAAAAAGATGTATTTATTACCTATTTAGTGCACAAATTAGAGAAACCTATAAATAAATACAATAATAAAATATATGAGTGTAAGCTAAAAAATGATATTGTGAGAAAAATTAATAAAATGTGAAGTATAGTAAATAAAAAGGTAATAAGAAAATAATGTTGATAAGTTATGTTTTTTAGTTTTGACTTAAATCTTTTTAATAAGAGCATTTAGGGGTGGGATTCGGTCGGATTTGGTCGGTTTCAATCTAAACCGAGACCAATTAGGTAGTTAACCAAAATATCAATTAGGCAGTATGCACTACTGAATACGAACGGAAAAATATTGATTTTACTGTTTCAAGTATTTTTTTTAGTTTTGGCTTTTTTCAAACGATTTCAATATTGTCCAAAACATTGAGTTTCCCTATTTTTCAGTATCTACATTTTTGCGATTCAATCGTCAACAGATGCTTAAATTTTGTTCCTACAGAGTTTTAATGGCATACCAAGAAAAAGAGAAGCTTGGAGTTGCAACAAAACAATGATAAAAATAAAATAAAATTGAAAGAAATTGAAAGAGAAGTACGAATTAGATCCAATCTCAATACCCAACTCCAATACTACTGTCATCCCCTTGAAATTGGACTTGGGAGCA